GTTTATTTGTTTGCAGACTGTCGGGGCAGCTTAACGTCTCATGATCAACTAGACAACTCCTAGTAATTAAGAGTAGCAGGTGGATTGAATTCTTTGCACATTGTCTTAGGTTTAATCTCAAGATTTGGCTCATGAGCAACAAGACACTCAGTTCCATTGTGTAGTAATGTCAATGAGGAAAAGATGCACCATAGAGATATTAAAGAACAACTTTTGTAGATGAATCTTGTTCTAGGCTGGAAGTTACCACAAGTCCTGGACTGCACCTATACGCTAGCTGACTGCATTACTGTTCTCATGATAGTTCTGTATTCTCAATTTATAAGCTTCTCAACGTGTGGAAAAGGAAAGCAAACTTAATAGGTTGAAAAGAAAATTTCTTAGATTGGTTGGTCCTGCATTCTGGCATTAAAGTGTTCTGCACTATGGTTGTGAAGTTTATAGCTGATGCAATGATCAATTGGGATAATTTTGTCCTAGGAACCTAAAAGATAATGGAGTTGATGCAAATGTTCCTGTTCACTTCAGTTCTCTCGTACTAGACAAATCTAATTACAGATATCTTAAAAAAGATTGAAGCTGTGTAATTTTTTTTTAATGTGCCAGGTCCATTGATTCTCATTCAGGATGAATTTATTATAAGTTTGTTGATGTTTTTTTAATACTTGTTGATTGAAGGTGGCTTTTGACAGCAGTATGGAGACCTTAACTTGGAGAAAGAAAGCTGGAGATAATTCGCTTAACCTGTGCTGCAGATCTCCTGGTTAAATACCATATTCCTATGCATGCTCATATGTTACTTCAATTTATGTCTTAACTATTGCTTATAATATTCTTATTATGAGTGTGTATATATTTGTGCCCCTAAGATAGCTGCTTCTTGGATGTGAGTCTGCAGAATTATTGTTTTGATTGAAACTAACAAAGAGAAAAAAAGGCTGTTTTATTGTGAATATTTCCTTTTCACGTGCTGCTTATTGAAGAAAGGAAGAAAGAAACAAAGGAGAAAACAATTTCCTTCGAATATAGATTATTCAAAGGAATAGTTGTTATGTGGAGTTTTCTCAGTTGCATATATACTCATATGCAAATCTCACTTGTCTCCGGAGTTTTACTATATTAGGTGTCTGTTTAATGTTCCATCTACTTTCATTTATTTATATAGAAGAAAAAAGAAACTTGGGGTTTAAATAAGACAACAAATTAATAGGCATCACTCAATTAAATTAATGGATATAATTGGCCTGAGAAGGCTAAATATTGTTATCTTATTTCGCTAAAATATTACAATATCATATTAGTTTAGAAAACATATCCTTCTATTCACTCTTAATGCTTGCTTATTTCATAATGCTTATAGTAGTACAAGCATTTGCACTGAAACAATTGAGAGTGTGAATCATTTGGATGCAGCTGCAGCTGAGATGAATTTCTCCCGGAAGATGCGGAACCTGGTGACTAATTTATCATGAGGTGGGAAGTTTTCTTTAATAATTGGAACACCTGAAAAGTCTTGCAACCAACCTGATAACCGAGGAAATCTCTGCTCATCAACAATTTTGATTCCGTTTACCTCTTCCATAGCACCGAGCATGTTAGTAAGCCAACCCAATGCAAGATCCACAAACCCAATCTTGTCTCCACCAAAAAATTTCTTTCCTTGCAGCTCTTCTACTAAGAACTTCAAGTTTTCAGTGGCTGCAGCCAGAGCTTCCTCTTGCTCTGGACCTTGGCTTGTAAATGAAGACCACATTCTTGCCAGCACCTGATGGAATCAATGTACAGGTAAATACATACGAGGTATATACACATATATTTGATCGAAGTAAAGCCTTGTTCGTGTACCTTATCATCCCCAAATGTTGCCCAGAAGCGTGCCTTGGCTCTGTCATGAGGATCTTGTGGCAGCAAAGGATACTGTTTCCATGTCTCGTCAATGTACTCGATGATGACAAGTGATTCACACAGTGGTTTGCCGTTGTGAATGAGGACAGGGATCTTCTTGTAAACAGGATTTGATTGAAGAAGAAGAGGACTTTTGTTGGAGAGATCTTCTTCTATTGTTTCATACTCTATGCCTTTGAGTTTCAATGCCCACACCACTCTTAAACTAAATGGGCTTGACCATTTCTGCAACAGCTTCACTTCTTCCCCCATACTTCACTGCCTTGCATATGTATATCTCCTTCCCAGAATTGCTATACATATATATATATGTGTATATGTGCGTGTATATATATATATATATATAAATAATGAAAGCTGCGAAATCTCCATGGGGAAGATTGAGTGCCAGGTGGAGCTCATATGGGCGGCATCTTGGATCTATCATTGTCTACCAGTCAAAAGTCTCATGCCAAATTAAGATATAATTAAAATTGTAACGTCAGTGCTGAAGTAATGTGTGTGTAATATATGATATGATTATAATTTTATGTTTGACTTTTAAGGTTACAATGAGATTATTACAAAATAAACAAATTAGTGCAAATATATTATCTATATTGTAGTTTAAATATTACTATTTCATTTGAAAATTATGATAATATAAAATTTGTCATTCTTTGGATCTACTATGAATCGGTCATGTTAATTTATAAATTCATAATTTAGTTTATTATTCCGGCGGTAGAAATGTAGTGACTAAATTAAATTTTGTTGTGGTAAGTTATTATGATTACGGTAAAAGATATAAAGTTACTAATTTTTTTTATTAAAGATAATTATCATGGTTTATTACCCATCTAAACTTTCTATAGTAAGAGAAAGAAAAGAAAATTTTAATCTTTGAAATAGACACAACAAATTCTTGTTGACAGAGATAAACTATATATATATATATATGTATGTATTCATACATCCCTTCATTCTCATGCTTCTCTTCAATCTTTTTTGTTTCAAAATTTTTCTGCAATTAGAGGCTATTGTCTAATTTGCAAGGACTTGCCTGAATATTTTTAAGAGGCATGCTGTAAGATCATCAATTTAGAGACTGAGAGTTATGAGAAGCATGAATAATGTTAATGTTTATTTATTTAATTTCTATTTTTTTAATAATATAATTGAATTTTAACTCGAGAGAATTAAAATAATTTTAAAATTAATCGGTGACATACTAATTAATCTAGATGAACATGAAATCTAACTTCAATGATATGGAAATAAGAGGTCAACTAACAATTCCACAAAAGATTTATGTCGAGTTTGGTTTAAATTATAATTATGTAGAATAAGAATCAAAATGTATATATATATGTATGTATGAGATAAAAAAAAAAATTAAATACAATAATTTTGTCATTTTTAGTCAATTTTTCATATTATAATTTTAAGTTAATTATTATTGTAAATTAAAAATATAAATAAATTTTATTTAGTTATTTATCACATGCTAACTTCCGTAAGTCTAATAAATAAAATTTAAAGATTAAAGGAGAGCGGAAGTCTTTTAAGCTTATATTCAAGAATGGATTGATGAAGTTAAAAAAAGTTTGTGTCGGACTTAAAAATTCATGAAGGAACGAAACCAAATCCATTAAGCCAAGTGGAGAGCTTACAACGCTTAGTAAAGTAATGGGAGATATGAGATTCAATATTGACGAAGTGAGACTGAGAACTCCTAATTCACCAAGACGCAAAAGCCAATTCCAAGAGAAGGCCGATTTATATGATGATTGGTTTACTATTATATTTAAATAATGAAACAGCAACAACATTTAAATTTAGACAATTGGATAAATATCATAATTAGCTTTTTGTATTACTCAAAATAAAAGGGTACAAAAACAAACCCTAATTAACCCTACACGCATGCTTAACTAATAACTCAAAAAACTTAAACAATAACGTTCCAAATAAAAAATACATCTGTATATTCTTGGTTTTAAATTTACTATATGGGCTTATATGCGTAAATCACTATGCATAATAAGACTATCAGATTAATTGGATCTAGTTAGAAGTGATCCGATACAGTTAAAGATATATTGGACCTTAATCCATCAA